GAGAATAAGAAAAAGGCAGACTACTTAAAATACTTAAAAAAAAGCTAAAATTTGCAAAAAAAGTTGCAAAAATTATCACAAGGAATTTCATAAATGCAAAACCAGAACAAATTGTGTAAGGTTTTGTAAAGATTTAGAAACAATTTGAAGGATTTTATGAATGTTGAAAACAGCTCCATTCATTTTCAATGGAAAAAAAAGTGGCTAAAAAAGTGAAATAGCTAAAAAAATTATAAATAGCAGAAATACCAAAACTCATAGCCAGAATGTCCTGAATGAGCTGAACGTTTTGATATATGAATTGTTGAAATAGCTTAAAAATTGTGGAAGGAGAAATGGGCCAAACAAAACGTACATAAGGCACTCACACTGATTAACCTGTTTAGTCGAGGCAGCCATCTACTTAGCCATCAGTAATCAGTTGTAGACGTAAAATTTATTCAGTGATTGATGAAATGTTTGGCTCAAAAACAAAGATGAGGACTGTGAGGCTGCATCCTTGGAAGGACAATTACATCACAGCGATGTGCTGAAGGCTGTCAGAATTCAAAGGCTCCTCCCACAAATGCACCTTTCAGCCGGTCCGGTGTATCCGTCTAAGCCCAGCCTATCCCAGGATGCATTGCTTGTGACGGCTTGAGAGATGGAGCGAGACAGGAGTACAGTTTTAAATAAAAACCTGGAGGTGTGTCTCTTGCATGCCAAAAAATCTATTGCACTCTTTTGGAAAAGAACAGATAGTCCGAGTGTCACATTTTGGATTAGACAAATGTTTGCAACTTTTCCCTTAGAAAGAATAACGTACAAACAAAAAGGAAAGCAAGAAAAGTTTGAGGAGGTTTGGTCCTCATTTTATTCATTTGCTAAAGATGTAAAACTTGTAGATGAAGAAAATTTATATAAGATATGTATGACCCTGGTAAATAAGATTAAAGAAAATTGTTGGTGTGTATGAATGTAATTTGTTTCTCTTGTACCTGTCTGAGAGCCTTTATGTGCGTTTTTGTTTGTCTTTTTATGGTTGATTGGTACTGTATATCTGTTTGGTCACTCGTTCCTGAGCTAAATGTTTAAATCATGTTTTTTCTTGTACAAATATGTGTGAGTCTTCGAAACCCATGCAAACTTGGACTGTATATGTGTGAATTATATCTTTAACATTATTAAGATGATAACAAATGTATGAATGGCTCCTATGAAAATTCAATAAAAATAATGTTAAAAAAATGTCTGGAGGTACAAACATTAAAAGTTTAAAGCGTTTTTTTTTATCATTTGAATTGATGTGTTTGTTAGTTCTTCGTGTACCTACTGCCTCTAAGATAATTATGTTCGTTTATAATAATATTTTGTTAATTGGGAGTTTTACTGTTTCTGTTTAGCGTCGTCACAACTGCTCTGCCTAGCAGAAGGCTAGACCATCCAAATTCACAGCCACTCGTCTTTGCTGTCAAAGAACCAGACCCACGTAGACCGGGTCCTTCGAGGGACGCAGCTATTAAATTGGGACCCAGTCAAGTTACCATCCTTATGAGGACAAAATGACCTCATTTAACGCTGACTTGTACCTTATCAGTAAACATCTAAACCAAACCTAAACTCATAATCATAACTTCTAACCAGAAATGACCATGCTTTGGTCCCCATAAGAACTACTGGTCCTACTGGTACCGGAAAAGCTCCTAAAAAAGGTACAGGAGCACACACACACACACACACACACACACACACACACACACACACACACACAAACATTCAAAGCTAAGGCGTTTATCAGAGATAACCAAAATACAATGTGTCCCTTTTCTGCTCCTTATACCACCTTTCTTTTGCTTTTTGTAACCTCTCCCTCTCTCTCTCTCTCTCTCTCTCTCTCTCTCTCTCTCTCTCTCTCTCTCTCTCACACACACACACCTTTCACAATTAATTCCACAAATGCAGACCAGCAGTGGTCTCTGCAGACTCCCCAAGGACTCGCAAATTAGCTTTGGTCAAACTCCCCTCACCTACAAACGTACAATCACACTTCAGTCTTTGTTTCCTCTCTCTCTCTCTCTCTCTCTCTCTCTCTCTCTCTCTCTCTCTCTCTCTCTCTCTCTCTCT